TACCCCCATAATATTCTGAAAAAAAAAATCCCAGATCTGCCACTTACTAGCTGTGTGACCTTGGATAAGTTATTTAACCTAACCCTCAGCTTTGTTGCTGTTTTCCTGGAAAATGGAAATAGCACTACCTCCCCACAGACGGTAGTCAATTGAAACAATTATTAAATGCTCAATAAACATTAGTTCTCTTAGCTCCCCTCTGGAGGAAAAGAAACTGAATAGGAAAAATTAAAGAAAAAAAAAAAACGTCTGTTCAAATGACCTACCTTCTCTTAAATGCCATTTTCCCGCTAAGGAAGTACATGGCCTTTCTGGACAGAGTGAAAATGTGTGCATGCCATCCTTTAACTCTCAGAATATCTTACGCTGTACCCTAGGAGTGTTGCCCTAGTGGTGTACATAATGTAGCTACTCTACCTTTCCAGTGGTGATTCTGAGTAACTGTTTCACCTACTATATGCTGTATACACCCATTTGTGAATCGATTGTTTATATCCAAGCAAGTGCCATGTCAGTTTGATTTGCTTCCTCGATGTTGCTACTAGGCTTGTGTTTACCCAGAAAAGGTGGTGAGAAACTTCTTTTGGAAGGGACAAAGCCTTTCCAACTCACCACTTCTATGTTTTTTAAAATGAAAACTTTGAGGATGTGGTAATGAGAACACCACCAGATCAAGTATGACAATCCCAAAGAACTGATGTTCACCTGATAAATACATGTGGCAGAGCCGACGATAATGAACTCTTAGAGCAGCTGACCCATTTTCCCCAATTCTCATAGACCATGTCATCCCTGGTGAAGGAGCCAGCTCAGTCAACATGGAAGAGTGCTTATTGTCCACACATTAGATGTTATAGGAGGAATGTTTTTAAATTTTTAAGTGTCCAAAATTCTAAGCTTTTAGGTGTTGGAGGGGGAGAGGAATACAAAAAAGCTGCTATGACCAACACACAACTAAAGTGCACAATGTGAGAGTAAGAGGTTTGGCCTGATAATCATCTACATTTAATTCTTCAAGGTAAGGTCAGCATAATCTAAGAGCAGAAAGCCAAATACAAGCCCTTCAGTGCAGCCACACTTGAAAAGTAGAAGGAATCTCAAACAGTAAACCAATAAACTAGAAAGTAAACTAGAAAGTAAACTCCAGTAAACTAGAAAGAGTAATAAAAGGGAAGAAAATCAGGATATCACAAGGTCAAAGCAAGAAAAGGTTTTCAGTGGCATCAAATGCAGCAAAGAGTTCAAGAAAGAGAAGCAGAAAAAGTGATTTGACCTGGAGGAAGTTAGCAGTTGTTTCTGCGGTTAAGTGGTTTCTGACTGGGCAGGTGGTTTCTATTACATAAATGGTGCCTTATATGGAATGAGATATTTAGATCAACATCTCATTTCACACAGAACATTGAAGAGCCATTATAATTAGACTCACTCATTCATTCATTTATCCATTAGCATTTATTGTGCTCTTACAAGTGCCTGACTCTACTAAGCTCCATGGGGTAGGGGTACCTAATAGAAAAGCCATAATTACATCATAATGACTTGTCTCTCACAAGCAAGCCAGGCAAAGTTTAAAACTGATGACTTAAAAATGAAAGTCTCATTTCCCTGTAGCTGTTTCAGTTTATATATTCTTTTCTGATATATTAGCCTTTTGTTTTCCTTTTTTAATTAGGAAGGTTTTGTTTGCCACATCACAAAGTATCAACGAAGAAAAGCAGCAAACTTGTATGAAATCTCAAAGTATCTTATGTATGCTACGAGGAAAAACAGAAACGGCATTTATATCTTGGTTTAGATTTTTTTTTCTACAAACACAAACAAAAGCCCACACAGAATAGTCCAAAGGAATCAAAGATTCCCCAGTTTCACAAGAAAATGCATACATTGCTTTGCATCTCATAATTTAACAGATTTGTTTGGCTACATCACTGACAAAGTACCAACTTGGATTCTGACAGGACGTTAAAAACATCGAGTCTCAAAGAATCTTTGTGAGCTCTCAGGAAAACCAGAAATGGCATTTATAGCTTGTATTAGGTATTTATTTCCACTAAAGTTTGATGCCTAGAACATAAACCCAAAAACCCACATGGAATAGGCCGTGGAAAGCTACCAAGCTTTCCACACTTTCAGAAAATATACCTAGAGATCTCTGCTGCTCAAATTGGAGTTCGGAGCTGGCTGCCTTGCAGTGAGCAACCTGGTGCCTGGAAATAAGGCAACCCACGGGATACATTTGGCACATCAAAAATAAAGGAGAACTATTTTAAATTTAAATATGGGTATATTGTGGAGAAAAATGCAAAAAATTCTCCAGATTTTTATGAAGTTTTTATGAAACTTCAAAGCCCAGAGCCCAGGCCTGCACCACCAATGAATTTCACTTCCTCTGCCATTAGGGGTGTCGCCATGGAAAGGCGCAGACAGCTCTACTGTGCCAGCTGGAAACTGGATCTCTCTGGGTCTAGTGATCCTTCTCTCTAACCAGCTCCTTTAATTAGCAAACTATTAAAGACACATGAACTTTTCTTTGCGCCAGTTACAATCAGGTGAAACCAGATTCCTCATTACTTTGAGATTTAAGGCTTATAATCCAGTATGCACATGCACACATCAGCTATAAGGGACTTTTATAACTGGCTATCCAAACTAAACCCATCTTAAAAATTAAAACAATCGACCTACCTGAAGAGTGATGCGTGGTGTTTTTGTTGTTTTTTTTTTCTCTTTCTATTTTCCTACAGTTTTTTTCATTTTAATAATGAAAGGAAACTTTTTTATAAAAAATCTCCTACTTGGCCAGGCGCAGTGGCTCACCCCTTAATCCTAGCACTCTGGGAGGCCGAGGCGGGCAGATTGTTTGAGCTCAGGAGTTCGAGACCAGCCTGAGCAAGAGCGAGACCCCGTCTCTACTAAAAATAGAAAATAGAAAAAATTAGTCGGGCATGGTGGCGCATGCCTGTAGTCCCAGCTAGTCGGGAGACTGAGGCAGAAGGATTGCTTGAGCCCAGGAGTTTGAGGTTGCTGTGAGCTAGGCTGACGCCACGGCACTCTTCTAGCCCAGGCAACAGAGTGAGACTCTGTCTCAAAAAAAAAAAAAAAAACATCTCCTACTTAAAGAAAAACTTAAAAAGTTCTTCAAGGACATTATGGTGAAAAATGCCTGTTGAAAATCGCTCTGATAACCTTTAAATATTTGCTTCTTTACCTTCACTAATGCCAATAGTCAAAGATCTGATCTACTGCATTTGGAGAGTCACTAGTTTTCAAATTTTTCTTACCACTTTATCTTCTTATGTCAAGTCCCCCCTGTCAAATGTTATAGTGGAGAATATCCTTTTTCTGCAGTAACTCCAAACATTTTAAAACATGTATGCAAAATTCATTATTCTTAATTAACTAGTTTTTATCTACTTCACTTACAACTATAACTGCCTCTTCACTTCAAGGACTGTGTGGCAATCAGACATGAGATAGGTTCTACTAACTGATATATAGACTCAAAACCAAAAAAATAATGCCCCCACTTCAACTCAAATTTTAACAATTATTAATTTCCTTATTATCCTGAAGATATAGGCTACATCCCTCCCTATACAACTTTTTAATGTAAATTACACAATCAAAAAAGTCTGTCTCTAGGAGAATGCTAAGCATATGCTATTTCATAACATGGAATGTAATCTTTTCACAGGGAATAGTTTTTTAAACAGGGACATTAATTTTTTTTAATGACACAGAGTTAAGACCTTAGCCTTACATTTCATACCTGAAAACTGTACTCCAAGTAGAAATGGGGGGCTTAGCCTTCTCAGTGGAAAACAATCATTCCAGTAGATTTTCTAAAAGTTCATTTAAACCCAGTTCTTTTACAGGAAAACAATATTTATTGTGTAAAAGATTTATATTTATTAATCAAAGGCACAAATCAAAACTAACACTATTAAAGTTGATCATAATACTGACAATTAAGTCATATCAACCTGGTAAGGAAATACCAGCTAAAGCTAATGAAGATAAGTTCCATTAAATTCCTAAGGAAAATACAATAATTCCGACACCATTAAAGTAATAACTAGAACCTTTCAAACAATAGGGAAAATAGAAACATCATAATAAATCCGTTAATTTGGAGGCAAAGAAATGTAAAGTGTGTGCTGAAACCTGATGTATCACAGAACATCAGTAGTGCCTTTTAGTCTTGGGTGCCTTAGACACAAGGCCTTAGACTGTTACCATCATCCAACAACTCTGATGATGGATGCCATCCAATGACTTACTGGAATTAAATTACACAATGTAACTCTCTGCCTTTCAGCAGAACAGAGAGTAATGAAACATTTTAACTTCTTGGTGCAAATTATACAATCAAACCAGATCACCTTGGCTGGAAAGGGGCCAGTTCAGGGAGGTCAATTTTCTATCACATTACATCAATAGCAAATTCAGAGGGGTCAATTTTCTACCTTATAGCACTACATCAAAACAGCAAATTCACAGTGCCTTCCAACGGCCCCACACTAAGAAAAATAAAAGTCAAGAGGAACACGGTGTTACTTCATTTACAATTTACTAGGTCTTCCAGTGTTTCAGAGTGATACGGGGTTTCAGCAATCTAAGGTGAATGGGACAGAAGGTGGACTTAAAACATGCTGAACGGGGCCGGGCGCGGTGGCTCACGCCTGTAATCCTAGCTCTCTGGGAGGCCGAGGCGGGCGCATTGTTTGAGCTCAGGAGTTCGAGACCAGCCTGAGCAAGAGCGAGACTCCGTCTCTACTAAAAATAGAAAGAAATTAATCGGACAATTAAAAATATATAGAAAAAATTAGCCGGGCATGGTGGCACATGCCTGTAGTCCCAGCTACTCGGGAGGCTGAGGCAGGGGGATCACTTGAGCCCAGGAGTTTGAGGTTGCTGTGAGCTAGGATGATGCCACGGCACTCTAGCCCGGGCAACACAGTGAGACTCTGTCTCAAAAAAAAAAAAAAAAACCATGCTGAACAAGTATCTCGATTGAATCAGGCTATTGGTGTAGTTTTTCAGTCTATTGGTAAGTAGTGTTGTCAGTCTTACATCCAGGCGATCTTGTAGTTCACAGGGGGGAACCTAAGTGTCCTAAAATTAAAGGAAAAAAGTTAATTTACTTGCTACCCAAATTTCAACATCTGTATTCACTTGCAGACATGCAAATCTGTTCCCATTAATGAAGACCTTCCCACGTGTTCCTAGTCAGTGGCTCAATGAAAATGTGAAAGGTGCCCTAGGGATCAGTTCAGCCAACAGTTCTCACAGTATTTTACCATTCAAACACTGAAGCTATTGAAACACATGTTTCCCCAAAATCTGGTTTCTGGTTAGGCCAGATGAGTTTATAACTCTCACAATAGTTCACCAAAAAACATCTTTTTACCAGAAAGCAACACTCTCAATGACTAAGATTGTGGTCAACGAAAAGTAGGTAAAGGACTAGGGAAAACGTCAATATTGATCAAGAGCAGAGAGTACTTGCCAGGGAACCTCATGAATAAGGTCATTATTGGGATTCTTTATTTCTCCTCACTCTAGGTCAAAATATGTTAGAAAAGGGATCATTTATGATCTTTAGGCTGACATATATATAAACATGTAAACCCAAAGGGACTCTTCTGTAAATGGAGAGAGCATGCACAGATAAGCTGCAGCTAAGTCACTGCTTTCTGGCCATGCCTTGTGTGTATGTCTCTTGTGTGTATGGTGCAAGATTTAAATACACTACTAGACAAGAACTTCTTGGCAAACTCAGTCCACGTAGCACATGCACAGGCTGGAGTAAATATCAACACTAACAGAGCTGAGGACCAAAATGAATGTACCTTAAAATTGGAGAGGAGTAAACCCGCAGATACACTGGTTACACTATCTCATACTGGTTATTTGTTATGGCGCGAGAGAGGCAGTAGGCTTGATAGATTCCAAACAGCTGGAAATAAAAGATGAACAAAATTAAATACACACACAAAACAGCTCTAAGACCTCAGAATATAGATATGTTCTCCTTTCACTTGTAATTCACTAATAATTTCCTTCTTTGTGTTTTTCTAGACAGTTATTTAATACTCTGCAGCACCTAGATCACATTCAGAGAACATGTGACCCAGAATTTCACAACTATCACCAAATGAAAATCCAGTGACAGTTCAGGAAACTCTCACCCAAGGAAAATTAAGAAGTCATAAGTTTTCTCTTACTCTCAGTTACCAGAAAAAACACGGACCTGGCTTTCAATAAGCACCTTATCAAGTAAAACCTCCATCTATGAGGGCAGAGATTTTCTGGGAAAAATCTACAGCAGTGCTACAATGATAGAAATGCTCTAGAATCCCTGTTCTGTCCAGTACAGTAGCCACCAGCCTCATGGCTACTGAGTACTTCAATTGGGGTTCCAGCAACTGAGGCTTTCATTTTATTTAATAATTAGAACCTTTCAAGAGTGGCCTTGTATTAGTGCAGATTTATATATAGCTATGCTTGCTACTTTAAAAATATATTAAGACTAGATTTAAATTAGTCTTATTTCCACAATGCTTAAGAAAAAAACTTCATGCCCTGAAAACATCACTTAGAGCCACAATACGAACTTTTCATGCTATGGTGAGAAACACAACGTGGGAAATACAATTTGACCTACAACACAGCATCTACCAAAAATAATAGGCACGTGATGAATGTGGTGTAATCTAAATTTTAGTAGGTTGGAACTTACATGCAACTCATCAGGCAGTTGCAGCCCAGGAAAGAAAGATCCTAATAATGTTTTAGAACTTTGACTGACTGCAGAGAAAAACAAGGCTCCCATCTATCTAATGTTTTGTTTAGTTAATAAATTATGATGCTGGAAAGTTACCATAACTAAAAGGGCACTGAGTCTTTCCATAGTCAATGGCTTTCAAAAGATATGTACTGCTAGAAGTTAATTCTGAATCTTGCTTTTTATAGTTTCAAGGCATGCTTGGCCATGGCAAAGAGTACATAAAATGGGAATAAAAATTTAGAGAACTCTGTAGCTGTGGAAAACAGTATAGGAAAATATAAAATCCAAGACCTCAAAAAACTGGAGTGAAAAAAGCAAAACATCCTCTCTCCCTAAATAAAACAAATCTAACAAAATTCATGAGTGGATTAAGAAAATGTAGTATATATAACATGAAGTACTACTCAGCCATAAAAAGGAATGAAATAATGTCTTTTGCAGCAACTTGGATGGAACTGGAGACCATTATTCTAAGTGAAGTATCTCAGGAATGGAAGAAAAAACACCACATGTACTCTGTAATAACTGGGAGTTAATCGATGGGCACACACAGGCACAGAGAGATGTAAATGTTATTGGAAATCAAGAAGGGAAGAGGAGGGTAGGAGTAAAAACCTATTAGGTACAATGAACACTATTCAGATGACGGGCACACTAAAGGACCCAACCTAAGCATTATAAAAGGTATCCATGTAACAAAAACATTTGTACCCCGTTAATATTTTGAAATAAACAAAACAAAAAAGATCCAATCGCAAATCAAAATCAATATTACATATACACAATAAGTCCAATCAAGACTTCACCATAAGAAAAACAAAGTATTTCTACACTGGGACCAATAACTAAGAGTTCTGTGAAAATGTGACTTCTCGAGAAATGTCCTCACTGTCCAAGCCCCTGAAGCAAACACTTTAAGCCTTAAACTTGAAAATCTTCTGTCTTATGCCTACGAGAGGGATGAAACATTTCCTAAGGAACTACAAGGACTTACCTGACAACAAGCAATTCCAAAGGCAATTCCGGCGACAATTCCTATTTTTGACTCTACAATGGTCATCACCTTTTTAATACAACCCTAAAGGAGGAAAAAGAAAAGATTAAGTACAGCACAAGCAATCTAGCTTTTCTTTATGGTAATAAATACTTTGATCATATACCTCTGCAGAAAGATATATGGACCATAGCCTTTGATTGTCATTTTACTGAAATCTGTTCTCTTCCATATATTCTCAACAGAATTGTTATTCTCAACTATTTCCTCCTTTTGAATAATGCATTTAAAAGTGTTACTTGCTAGCTCTGTGAACTTAAGTCTTACCTGCCCAGCCTATTTGCGCTTATGTGTACTACTGTGAGGAAAAATTAAAAACGGAGTCAACTCTGTATTCGGTTAAGTCCTCAAATATTGTCAAATAAAAAATTTTAAAAGACTCCTTACTTCATTGTTTACTTTCTCTGCATCTCTCTCTGGAGAACAATCTTCAAGTTTACAGCAACTCTTGGGAAATCCATTTTCTGAGTAATAATCAGTGTCTGTCCAATCTCTATAATCGGTGATACCACAACAATGCAACTGAAAAATCCAACAAAAGCATTTATACTTCATATTACAACTTTGTACTCAAACATTTACCCTAAAATCATCTTCTATTGCAATTTGTGCTCAAAACAACATTTATTATACTCCATGATCTCTCTCCTGAATGGATTCAAGAAGAGATTAGTACTGGTTTCTTTATTAGCACCAAGTATGACAGTTTTGAACTGGCCTTCCTTTCCTGCTATAGTTGGTATTAACAGTACTTTGTTCTATGATGTAAGTGGGGAAGGAAAAGAACAGGTGCACATGTGAGGAAAATAAAACATGTCACAGTTCTTTCCTGTACAAGTGGACAGCATCTAGTAGCCAGGCTCTATTCTTTTCTCCAAGGCAATAAGGAATGTGTTTGCCTCTTGAGAAGCTACCACCTATAACCACTTACCGTATTTTGGATCTTGTCTACTGCATGGCTTCTATAATCTCCTTCCGTGGAGTTATATTGCTTCAAAGCGGTCTCATAATTATTCTTAAGGCTTTTCTTAACCTACAGCAAAGAAACACAATGCCAGTTAACAAATATCCTAGAAAATTCTTTCGCTTTCTAGGTCAAATAAGAAGTTCTCACATTAACCAATGGTCCTATCTCTGACAGCGGCAACATTATGGTAATGAACTTCCATGGTCCAATCCTGTTCTCTAAGGGATATAGTTTAGCTGAGGGGACTACTAAGTAAAACATTACAATACAAGATGATAACCACTACAAGTTCAAAGTGCTGTGGGAGCATGTGTTTATCCAAGTGGCAGCAGAGTACTGGTGCATTCTGTACCCTCCCATCTTCCTCTACTTTAAACTGAGTACAAATTTGATGCCTATGCAATTTTTAAGCTACAAAACTTTACTGTGGGAGACCACACTACCACTTTGTAAAAACACTTTCATTGATGAGCCTTCACTACTCACTGAATGATTTCCTAACAACCCTAGGTTTACCTGATTTTTAATTCAACATTAAACTTTTGATGATTTGTATTAAGTATATCTAATCTTTTCAAAATACATGGCAAAAGTGAAGAAGTTATCAATTCTGTGCTTTCAATATTTTCCTATCAGTAAAGTTACAAATTGTACTATCTCCACTTTAACAGGATACTTTATAATTTTCTAAACTTTCTTTTACATTAAAAGTGGGCCAGAATTTTTACAAGAAAGCCATATTGTCAGTTACAGGTTTAAATACAGAAGTCTAATTCTGCTACTTAAATTAATCCGTTTTTATCTCTTAAAGGATAAATTTTAATATATTAAGCTTCCCTAATTCAGGCTTACCTCATGTCTGAAAACAAATCCTAACATGGCAGAGACCACTTGGACCAAAAATATGACAGACAGATACATTGCATACTGTGGGATAAAAAAGAAAGTCCAAGTCAGCATAAATAAGCTATATCACAGCTGCGAAGGGAGTCAAAGAAAAAATAATGGTCTTCTGCTCAATCAGTTCAGCATGTTTTCATTGAAAAGGGCAGGGGAAACAATAATAAAATGTCTATTTTCAAAGTGGGATTTGGCAGCTGAACTGTTCCTTGGTAAGTTTTCATAAGGAACAGGAAGAATCGTAAAGGGCCATGGTCAGTTCCAAGACACAATATATAAGACTTTTCAAAAATCAAGAATCAGTACAAAGGAAAACAAAGACTCACCAGTTTTAGCATCCATGCAGAAGCTTGGCAGGTAGCAAAACAACCAAAGGTGCCCAAAAGAATAATAACAGTGCCAGTGCCAATGAGCAAAAAAGGGACATTGGTGGCCTTCTCATTTAAGAGGGAAAAATAATTCTCCAGGCTCACCTTGCCCCAAATGCCAACGGCAAGGAGGACAACACCAGTGATCTACATGGGAAATCAGAAAATAAAAAGTTAGGCACTGTCTACAGAAGCATCTTCAAACCACTAACCACGAGGTATTTAAGACACAATAGGTGTGATATGCAGGGATATGGCAGACAAGGGGCGAGGGGAGAGGGGAGTAGGAGGAGATCTGCATAGGAGTGTAGGCTGTGGACAAGGCATCTTAGCAAAATTCTTAAAATTCATCTTTGTGTGTGGGTAAGCACAAACCCATGGCATATGTGTCCTGGGGACCAAAACTTCCTTAACTGTTTCACACCCGCCTTAGAAAGAAAACCTACTGGGAGGGGGGAAAAAAGTGTTTCTATGAGTTCCAGAAACTTCCCCTCATCCTCCCCTCCCCCAGTTTAGGGATGAGCACAGGGTACAAAGGAATGGGTACACAAAAGCAAACCCAAAGGACAGATTGGCGGGAGTGGAGCCACACCATACTTACCTGCGAAACACTCCCCTCTCAAGAAGCAGTGAAAAGAAAGACACTATTATGCAAGCGAGCCCTCAAAGAGGCCGGACAAGGCTAGCCTCTCCAACGGTCTCCAACGGTCCAGGGACACCGTGCGCGTGCTCTGGGGACTTAACTCCCTTCCTCGCCTCCCGCATCGAACTCAAACGCCTGGCAAGTCTGGGTCCCAGCTCAGCCTCTGGGCTGCCTCCGTTCCGCACCCCGAGCCCGGCGTCGGCGAGATGCCCGAGCTTGGAGCTCGGGCCCCAGCCACCCGTCGCCAGCGCCAGGGTCCCAGGAGCGATGGCCTTCCAAACGCCACTCCACCCCCGACCTGAGCTCCCTGCGCTCAGGGTCACACCCCCCACCTAAGCCCGGGATCCCCTGCCGCACCCGGGCGCCTCTGTCTCTCACCCAGAAGATGAAAGTGTAGATCAGGAGGACGCTCTTGAAGCAAGTAATGACTGGTTTAGTCTGCAGTCTCCGAGACGGGGACGCCATGACTAGCCCGGGACCCTGCACCACCGCACCGGGTGATCGGAACCGAGCGAGCGAGACGCGGAGTGCCCGAGTCTCCCCGGAAATTGCCGAAAACTTACGAGCGTCTACAACTGAGAAGAGCCGGAAACACTGTTCAATTTTCTAGAGGGTAAAGTCTGAGAGGCTGTCCGGAAAGTGGCGACAATTTCCGAGCGCCCCCTGCCGAAAGTTACCGAAAGCTATATACAAAGGTTCTAGTGTCGGAAATTTCGTAGGTCTTCAAGTGGAGCTTTCTTCAATTTTTTTTTCTCTCCCAAAGAATCTTTCCCGCCCCCCACCCACCCCCCGCCCTTATAACTTTATCATATTGTTTCTATCACCAGCAGAGCCAGCAGCGCTCTGAGATTCGGCCTCCCCGGCCCCTGGTGCCCTAGAGGGAAGGAAAAGAATGAAAAGAGGCTAAAAGTGACCTAAGAAAATACATGGGAAAATACCTACAAGAAATATATTTCCAAAAAGAAACAAAGCAGATTGCAAAGCCATACATACAGCTGCTGAAAGGAAAAGCGAAATTTACCTCTGGTGGAATTAGGCTGATTTTTTTTTTTCACTTGTTTTGTGCTTTTCAATTTGTGAATATTGTTTTATGGGGTGGAGAATAGGGACAAGAACGAATGAATTGAGGGAACTAATCACCACTTGTTGAAAGAATTCCAAAGCTAGGTATTAAAGATAATAATAAAATTTTAAATTTCCCTACAGTAGTTTGCAAAACTCCATTATTCCTCTCCTCTCTTATCCCCTAAAAAATTGGAAAGTTGAAGGAAACTGTTTTAAATGTAAGTAATAGTGAAATGTAAGTTCGGCTATTAGCTGCAAACTATTCGAAAGAGGGGGCACTATGGAAAATGCCAGGTAAATGTGACCTCCTCTTAAATGTTAAAACCAAAAGACACTGTAAATTCCAGCCCCCCTAATTTTTCCCATCAAGAACGAGCTGATCACAGAGAGATTAAAACCTAAGGTCACAAAGCTGAATAGCAAAGCCAAAACTAGAGATAACTGTGCTTTCTAATACAGGCTGCCTGGTCTATTATACAAGCCGCCTATGTCTGCTCCCTGCCAAAGAAATTCTCCTAGTTGTTTAGATCTTCCTGGAACTTGAGACTATGTTTTGTTCATAAGGAGTTAAACTGCTTACAAGATGGGAATAAATCACCAAAGTTTTCTGTCCCCTATGTCCAGTCCAGAGGCAGCCCTTAGTCAAATTTAGCGGTACCGTGGAATTAAAAAAAATCAGCTAGTGGTAAGACAAAAGCTGAGGCTCTTTTTGTCTTTGGCTTCATCTCCAAATAGTTCAAAGGTCTAAAAAACTTAGATTTTGCAAATCAGCAGAGCCTTAGAGGGTATTTAAAGTTCTTTGATACATCTGCAAAATGGGAATAAATCTCTGTTTCTTAAGAGATGTATGTGGAAGCGCTTTGCCTGGTACCTAAGAATAAATGCATACATTTATTGAGCCATAACTATAATGGGTTAATTGTATACCTCTCATTAAAGAGGAAAAATGAGCCTAGACATTACAGATTGCACTGTTTCCTGCTTTCTGGCATCTTTTAGGCTTCAAGAGTGACCAAATGAGCCATTCAAATTGCCCTCAATTTAAATAGGTTATTTACTTCTCATGGGAACCTCAGGGTGCCTTTGTCATCTAGTCAGTTTTAAAACACATTTACAAAATGAATTAAATACAAATGAATTAACAAAGTGGTATAGGCATCCTGATCTCCCTTTTTATTCAGGGACATTAGTTCAATCCTCAGCATTCATCCTTCTAGAAATGCAGGAGAGACATAATCCAAGAGAAAAGAAAGAAACCACTGTTGGGTATCAAGACTCGATTTTCAGTTTAGTGGAAAATACACACTTAGTGAAACTTTCTCTAGGCTTTCCTGCTCCCTCCCTAAAAATATATCTTTATATGGGAAAAAATAGTTATCTCTAGGAAATCTAAGTTGAAACCTAACACAAAGAACACTATAGATCTGTATGCTTCTTTATCCATATGATTGATACCTATTTTTTCAACCAAAAACAAGTTAACTTTTAAGGGAAATTTACAATTGGACATCTCTACTAAACTATAAATGGCATTAAAGTGTGGAAATGATGTGTAGTATTTTTTCCTATTAAATTATGTATGTAGGTCCATGTTTCAATGTCGCGTATTGTGAATATATTGGTCTATGTTGTTACAGCAAAGAATGTGTATTAAGGTCTAATTTCTCAGCTAAAATGTCAGCTCTTTGAGGGCAGAGATTGAATATGTGTTATCTCTAGAAGAATGGGGTTGGAAGGCTACATCAGTTCCCTATCCAACCCATCCCATCATCATTGACATAAGCTTAATAGCACAAGTGACCATTTACGGTATTGCTATTGCAAAAAGCCCTGTATTTGTGGAGAGGTGAACGCTCAAACTTTTCTGCTTGAAACCTTGCTTTAAACATATACCACAGAACCAGAAAGCAGGAAAGTTCCATTGATTTGGTCACACAGAGCTTCCCTGTGCTTTGAATATTGACCTAGGACCAGTTCCTATAACATCTCGCCAGACGTCTGAGGTACAAGGGAGCAACTATTAGAGAATGAATTATTGCACTGTCAGGCTTTATACTAAAATTTTATCCTAAAATTAGAAAAATCTAACACACAAATATATAGAGAGAATGGATAAATGATGTATCTACATACACTATATACACCTATAAACACTTTGAGGCAAAGTCATCAGGAAATAGCAGATATTCAGCTTTTAAAGTACCACATATGCCATAGCTACGGGAGGTGAGGTGGGGTCAGGGGACTCTTAAGTATATGCAAAACTTTCTCCCTAGGCTAACTGACGCTATCTGAGGGATCCTTGTAGTAAAAACAACAAGTATCAAAGGAAGGCTTGCTAACTTCTCATTTTAAATAGAAGTTTCCTCTGAAGCTTAGATTTGTGCTGTGTCCTGGAAGGGATTTTCATTGTGAACCCAGGAGCAAAGACATATTTCTGTGGCTAAAGAAAAAACAAAATAGCAAAGCAAAAGCCACATCTTATTTCCAAGAATGTGTTGACTTCCCTCTACTCCCTTCCTCTGCCACTCACAACGCCGCCTTGTTTGAACAACAGTCAATGCCAAGTTAAACCAAAGGCTGACATGGAAATTCATGTTCCTATGGCCACAGCACCTTGCAGCACTGCCTCCAACCCTGCTACACTCACTTGCCCCCCAACTCCCCCGCCATGCCACCAAACCCAGAAGAAGTTCAGTTTAGTTCAAACCTAGACCTGAGTCCGGGTACAAACCCAGACAAAAAGGACATATAATCCCATCTAAGGAAATTTAAGAAGTGTTTCCTTAGGACATTCAATAAGTTTATTCTGTAAAGTATTAATAATAACTAACAGTGAGCATTGACTATGTACTAACTGCTGTTGCTAAGAGCTTGATCCATATTACCTCACGCATACATCACAAAGACCCTATCATGGGGTCGACACTACTACTGCCCTCATTTTACAGATGAAGAAACAGGTTGAAAGAGGCTAAGTAACCTGCCTAGGTCTTAGCCCAGCCAACTTCTGTTTCCTTCATCAGAAATGGGGCCCACTTTGTGATGAGACATGGCTGCTGTTGTACAAACAGCTGTCACAGCTCGGAATAACCCGAGCAGAGACTACTGTTGTACAGACATTTAGCCACAAACAGGGGCTCCTCAGAACTTCTGAAGCACAAAGACCTCCATGATTGCCCCAATTCTGCCTTAAACTTGTTTTTTTTTTTCCTTGAGTTTTACTTTTGCCTTCAGTCCAATAGCCCAATCACATAGGAAGTAACCCTGCTTGTCCCAGAGTGGTGAGATAAAGAGTTCAATACCTTTTCTGGTTCAACCTCTTAATTTCTCCCTCTTTCTGAGCACAAAAACACATTCAATGCCAAAAATGTAGGGATAAAAGGAAAATACTTTCCCGAAGTATTGTTGCTGCTTGTTTTACATTCAACATTTAGTAGGGATTTGTGTCCCTTCCCTATTAACTTCTTGTAACCGTACAAAATCAGGTGTAAATGTTTTTCATTGGAGGACATCAGGCAAAGGAAATGACATAAACAAGAGCTCACTGTGAAGTCAGACCTCCCTGTGCCAGCTCGCCACCTCCAAGCCACCCCATCCTCACCAATCCCCTCTCCCCTATACAATCTCAACTGTTTTCCTACTACTTTTCCAGTGTGAATTTTCAGCTCTTCACCAGGCCAGTAAGCAAGGCGTGTTCCCTACTCCCTGCCCACTCTCTAACTTCACTCACAATTTCTGCTCCTGCTCAATGTCCAGCTCAACCGCAGCTCGGTGAGAACATCCCCCTTCCCCCATCCCACCTCTTTCTCTAACATCAGTGCTCATAGTCTGACCACACACTCACGTTAACTCAGACCCTCAGTCAATTACTGCAGTGCCAGCTTTGCATTTCTACTTACCTGTGTTACATCCTGCCGTCTAGAGGGAAAGAAACTGCCACAGAGCTAGTGTGGCAGGGCCCCTGTGCCCCCTTTTATACTCTCCTCACTACCCTAGGACATAATGCTCAATTATCAGCACATCTGGTGCTTGGCCAATCCCTGTCGAGCCAATTGCTCATTGAGGTCACAGCTGGTCTCTAGGGGTAACCACCTAGTAGTTACTCAAGGATTGATTACTGAAATTAAATAAAAAGCTAAATGTCTAAGCCATCCCACTATCACACTGTCATAAAACACAAAAATTAAATTGAGCTGCTGGATAATGTCTTGGGATATTCCTACTCTCTGTCTTAGGAACCAGTAAAAAGACATCAACCATTTCACTCAGAATACATCTTATCTTTTATTCACATAATAACCTTACCATTTTCATTCTCTAATCCCTTTTCTAGCATCCCTTCAATTACCTTTGGCTAAGTGCCTATCATGGAATTTAAAAGCACCTCCTACTTATTTTCTTAAAATCTCGTTTTATATTATAGCCATCAGACACCTCATCATTTAAACAGTTCATTTAAACAGTTAATTCATATCTACAGTTTTAAAAATTAGTTTCTGGAATAGGAATGTCTTTTTATTCTTATTATCTCTTGTGTATTCCCATTATCCTTCTCTGAAA